AGAGAGTCACCTACCTTTGAAGAGGATGCTGCAATTGGGTTGCTGAACTCTGCGCTGATTAGCGCTGGTGGCTGGAACTATGAAACTGCTTAATATGATAATAATTTGTTGGACTTTCTAGTTTCTAAGCTGCGCTTATCTGGACTTTGCATCTCTGTACTCCAGTGTGGACTTCTTGTGATCTCTCATTGTGTGTGTGTGCTCAAGGTGATGAGCAGTAAGGCTCAATGCATTATCGCTCAGCATACTACCCATGTGTCTAGATTACTATCAAGCATACTTGCAAGCAGACGGACCGGACGAGCGTCCGGTCCGGTCGACGGACCCGGAAGGGGCCATTTTTTTTTATTTTTTTTTGGGGTGGGGCGTAACTGGTCGTCGGGCACACATTCGTGCGCCGCGTGGGTCCGATCCGGTGGTCTGCCGCACGTGCAGAACCGCACGGACGGCGTCCGCTTGCAAGTATGCTATCAAGTTAATGTCAACTGATCACACTACCGCTCAGCATACTACATCAAATATTGATGTGTGTTTTCAACTTAATCAACTTATCGTGCTATTGCTAAGCATAATAAGTATTAATTATTTAATAACCATGTTCTTTGTTAGACGTAAAAAAAAGAAAAGAAGGAAAAAAGACGGTGAGAGCATCAAGGATGGATTTATTATATCATGATCACCTCACCATGATATCCTGCACCGTCCGACAGCTTTGTCATGCCATCATTTATTGTCAGTTGATGCAAAAAGCTAAATAGATCAATGCTGAGGGTGCCACCCTCAGCTAAATAGATCAATGCAAGATGATATTGCGCATCCTGCCACAACTTAATCATGCCACCCTTTGTAACCCCTATTCTAGGGTGCCACCATTTGCAACCCCTATTCTAGGGTATGCCACCATTTTGTAACCCCTATTCTAGGGTGCCACCATTTGCAACCCCTATTCTAGGGTTCTTACCCCCTTCAATGTCATCCTCATCATCTTTTCTGCCAGCAGAAAGCTTTCATGGTTCGTAGCCTTGAACCACTACTACCTTGGACCCTTATGTGCTCCCCCTGACAGTTTTCCCATCATTTATGTACTGCACCCGGCGCAGGCAGGTCCGGTACATCAAGAACGTGCACTCCGTTTTAAACCGCCAGTATCTTTCACATACATCGACTGCGGACACCGCGTGCCAAACGGCCGATGGATCTGGTCGGCGCCGGAGGTCGAATCGGGCTTCCGTGTTAACCGCCGCGCCCCAGATCCCAAGCGGGCAAAGGTACTGGTGGTTTAACCAACCATTTCCTAGAGGGTAGTGCTTTCGTGTTCTTTCTATCCTCAGTCTGTCTGTCAGTCAATGGGTCGGTCTTCATTTCTGCCGCTCGGTCATTCCGTCAATGGGTCAGTCGGACCGGCGGTTTGGTTTGCCACCGGTAAATCCCTCCTTCGGTCAGGTCAGTTTCTTTCGTTCGTTTCTTCGTTTGTTTGCTTTGTTTGTTTGTTTATTTTGTTTGTTTGTTTCATTGCTTCAGTTCATTTTGTGTGTGTTCGTGCCATCATCAATCTGTCCATTCACCTGTCCATATGTCCGTCTCTCTGTGTGTCCATTGAGTGGTTGGTTGGTTGCTTGAATTGCCTGTTTGTTTGTTTGTTCGTTCTAAAGGGGGCTGCTGTAAGAAACTGTCATATTGTGCTGATTTTTTGCTTTTTTTCTTGTTTTTCTTTTTGTGTGATATATATGTACTTTAGGGTACGTCATGTGTGCAGTTTTGACATGTTTGGATCAATAATGAAAAAGTTGGCATTTTGTTGGATTCGTTGGACGCTTCATTTTGACTCGGACAGTGCCTTTGTGTTAGGCCTGTTTCCTTTTTTGATGTTTGCACTATGGTCTCATATCGTTTGTTTTTAAAATTTTTGATGAAATTCGCACCGCAATTGCCAACGAAAACGGCGAATATTTGGGCCCCCGTTAACCGTCTCTCCCGAGAAGTCAAAGTCAGCACACAGGATTTTTTTTCCTGGCCATGCCCGTAAGACTTCATCTGAAGGTTATGAGATCAAATCCTGTTGGACAGAACTATGTCTAGAATTAAAACCCTGTAATGAACCCAATCTCGTCAGACAATCATGTCGCGGATAACAATGTTGTGCAATGTCGTGAGATAATTAAACGATCCTCCAACAGCGAGCAGAATCGGCAGCAGCTTCACATCTGAAGAAACCAGATACGTATGCACAACGACTCACAATCAGAGGGGTGATTTATTATCCCATCTTGGCTCTCTGTTTGAAAGAACAAAATATGCACTCGATGGGACAGCCCAACAATCTCCTTGGCTTTGCATCATCCAACCAATGATGCTGCTGAAGCCAATGCTGAGACTGTAATGTGCCTGCTATCCCATTCCATTAGGGTCTCGCCACACCACCGTTGAAACAAAAAAAGTATGACTGCATGTTCCCGCACGGAGTGACCAGATGCGTCCATTACTCTGTATAGTGACGGATGCATCTGACCACTTTCTGGGGAAGATGCACTACCTTTTTTTCATTTGGACAGTGGTGTGGCGAGGCCCTTATGAATCAAGTCACTTGAAGTGAGAGTCAAAGGTTTAGGTTGATGGGTGACGCTCGATGATAAAGTTGCTCTCCCATCAGAGTAGCACAGCATCCCCATATCCCAGAAAAAGGAGTATGGGGAGAGAAAAAACGGATCGGGGGGAGCGCGGGGGGGGGGGGG